GAAATCGATATCTCTTTGGCTATGTGCAGTATGTGTTGTGTTTGCCTGGGCCTTTCCTGAAACATGTTTTGGAAATATTTAGTACCCCAACATATTAAAAAATGGGCATGGCAGCATTAAGAGCACCTCATAGCTCCGTTAGAGCATGGCTTCTGTTTCTGACTGTGTATTTATCTTTTCTTCCAGAGGAAGAAGTTGCTTATCATTTACAAATAAAGGAATCAGGTCCTCCCTAAAATATGTGCCATAACCTCTATACTTGTGGATATAATTTCATTTGAGAAGTGGTTTTTTGTTATGTTAATGAGATAAGATTAAAGTAACTAAGAAACCTCAAATTCACTGTAAACTATTTGTTTCCAAGTCAGCCAATCTATAAGTCAGGGTAGAAATGTCCCTTGGGGTTTCTGAGACTGTAACTTTTTGCAGGAGTGGAAAGCCTCTTATTTCTTCCAAGAAGCAGCTGGTGGTTTTGAACTGCTGATCTTGTGGTTAGCAGCCCAATGTGTAATCCACTATGCCACCAGGGCTCCTCTAAATTAAAGTAGGGAATGTTTTAAGCCCATGTCTTTTGAGATGTAAAAGATTAAACTTCCAACTAACCAAGGTGAGATGAGAGAAGATTGATGCCAAGCCACATGAATATCATCCAGGAACAGAAATGCAAAAGAGGCAAAGACCTTTTTCCGGAGCCGACACAGAAAGCCTTGCCCCAGAGCTTGCGCACTGAATTCTGACTTCTCACCTCCTACTGTCAAGAAAATAAAGTTCTGTTTGTCAAAGCCACCCATGTGTGGTATTTCTGTTACAGCAGCACTAGATGACTAGGACAATCAAAAGCAATGCACTCAACAAAGTAGATATGACTGGAATTGCAATACTGGAATATGGCTCGGAAAATGCTCTCTTTTTTACGATAGAGAGATTACAATGAGAGGATTTCCTTCAAAACGACAACACAACAAAAAGAACAGATAAGATAAAAAAGAAAACAAATCACATAAGCATTGGGATTACAGTAAAGTATTCCCTAAGTTAAAGTTAATGAGAAATGAAATTATGTAGATTCAAAAAGTAATAGATGAGTTCAGCCACTCGTATAAATGAGCCAACAAAAGAAATTTTCTTCAACACCAATTTAAGAGTTTGGAAAATATCTAAAATCTAATTAATTTTTTGTCTTTGTGTTAGTCCAGGTTGACTTGAGAAATAAATCCAGGACAGTCATATGTGTATAATACAGAGCTTTCTATAAAAGAGCAATTGTATATCAAGAAAATATCCTAACCTAATTCCAGATCAAGTCCACAATTCCAATATTAGCTCATAAGTCATCTGATACCAGTTTATAGATTCCTCTTCAGACTCATGCAACACATACAATAATGCCGAATGCAAGAGGATCACAGACTAGTGGGTGGAAAGTCTTGTGGATCCAGTTGCAGTGAAAGCATCTCAGTGTTGGTGTGGGTCTCCACCTTATTCCTCCAGCTCCATGTGGCTTGTCGACAGGTATGTCATATGGAGACAAGCAGAGAGAGTGTGTCTGATCTCCAGTAAACTATTTATCTCTGTTGTGCCTCCAAATGAGGTCATCAAGCTGCTACCTGATAGACAGGCTAAACTCCACCCCTTCTCTCTTAATGTCAGTCAAGTTGACACCAGATTATGTAACTACCACAATCTTGGAAGAAGTTTGGCCAGAATGCTCTTTGAGACAAAGATGGCAAGTTTGACATATACTTTGAACATGTTGTCATGAGAGACCAGTCCCTGGATAAGGACATCGTGCTTGGTAAAGTATATGGGCAGCAAAGGAGAGGAAGGCCCTTAAGGAGTTGGATTGGCACCAGGGCTGCAAGAATAAGCTCCAGCACTGGAACAATTGTGAGAATGTTACAGGACCAGGCAGTGCGCCATTCTGTTGTGCATAAGGTCACTATGGTTGGAGCTGACTTGATGGCGCCTAACAACAGCAACAAATCAATGTAGCTTGTGTTAACTTTCGGAATGCGTGTCAGATGTTACAACTAGGAATCAGAAATATAAATGCCCCCAAATGCCAGGCAGGTAATATAAATATGTGTATTAAGATGAACTTAAGAAAAATAATAGTGTGCCTTACACTAGACTTTGGACAGGAAAGACAGTAGGGAAAGACAGGGAATATGGTAATCAGATGTATCCATGCTGACCTAGCTACTGTCAGAACTTTCTTAGATTTGTTGCTGCATGGAAATGTAGGTTCAGTGTTGTCCAATTTTTTTAAATCAGAAAATTAGTTTAAAATTTCTGACATTTGATTATTGATAACTAATTCAAATACTGAAAAAATATTCTTTACAAAGATCGACAATTTGTTGATAATTGTAGAAGGTAAGTGATGGGTGCATAGTGGCTCATCATATAATCTCCCTTTTGTGTATATTTAAATATATTTCTTTTATTCTTTTTAAAATTATTTTTTATACTAAAACATTTTTAAAAACAACAACCTACTCAGACCAAATAAGCATGTCAGCTGGTCCTGGCTATAAATCTCTGATTAAATGCTAAGAGTGGAAATGCTACCAGGGCAGAAACCTATTGCCACATGCGTAGAATGGTTTACAGAACATTAAAAAAAAAAATCAAGCTCGCTGTCATCAAAGTGATTCTGACTCCTGGTGTCTCTATAGGACAGAGTAGAATGTCCCCTTTGGGGTTGTGAGACTGTAACTCTTAATGGGAACAAGGCCTCATCTTTCTCCCATGAAGGAGCCATTGGGCTTGAATTGCAGACGGTGCAGTTAGCAGGCCACTATGGCACCAGGACTCTTCTCAGATCACAGTAAATAGGCATTTAGTCCATCTGTGGGATTGATGAGAGGAAGGGAGGCAGAGACATCGCTTTTGAGCACCTACTCAGGCATTGTGTTAGGCACTTTATATTGTTACTGTACAGTTATGCTTTCATTGTGTTTTGAAGGATATAACATACATGGTGAGTTTAGGGAGATACTCATTGGGCTGCTAACCACAACGTCCAAAGTTTGAAACCACCAGCCAGTCCGTGGGAGAAACACAGGACTCTCCACTAAGCTAAAGAGTTGGAAACAATCTTGGAAACTAACAGGGCAGTTCCATTCTTTACTACCAGGTTGCTGTGACTTGGTATTGACTCGGTGGCACTGAGTTTGAGTTTGGTTTGGTATTAGTTTTCTAATTTGCTGCCATATCAAGTGATCATTAATTTAATGGCTTAAAATAATATAAATGTATAATCTAACAATTTTGGAAGCTAGAAGTCCAAAATGGGTCTCAGCAACATTGAGGTTTTCAGCAGGACGGGGTCCTTCTGAAGGCCCTAGGAAATAACCTATCCCCTTACCTTTTACGACTTCAGGACACTGCCTGCCTGCCTTGTCTCACAGCCCCTTCCTTTAGCTTCAAAATCATTAAATAACAGGCAGAACCATTTTCATACCACATCATTCTGAAACCGACTCTTCTGCCTCTTTCTTCCACATTAAAGACCTTGTGGTTTCCTTGAACTCACACACACAATATAGGATTGATGTGAGGCAGCATTGAGTCTCTATAATGTCCTTGATTTCATCCCATCATTGGTGGTCTGGTCTTTAGGTCACTAGTGTTCAATGAATCAAATTAATTATTGAGATAGTATCTAAATTAAGGCAGGTTATACTTTCACTGTTGTGAATACGGTTTAATATTCTTCATCTTCAACTTGAACTTCCTATGATTCTGCAGTTGGCTACTGGCCTGATTCAAACTGATGACAATGAACTTCTTCATCATTTTTTTCCACAGATGTAGTCAACTCGATTCCTAGGTATTCAATTTGCTGAGGTTCATTTATGTAATTTAATAAAGATATATATATATATATATTTAAATCATTTTATTGGGGGCTCATACAACTCTTATCATAATGCACACATACATCCATTGTGTGCCAAGCACATTTGTACATTTGTTGCCCTCATCATTCTCAAAACATTTGCTTCTTACTTGAGCCCTTGGTATCAGCTCCTCATTTTCTCCCCATCCCTCCCCTGCCCCCCCCAATAAACATATTTACAATATATCACAAAGGTATTTTACTTCCTCATCCTGCAAATTTGTATTATGTAATCTATGGCATAATTTCTATCACCAAGACCATATTTTTCAATTACCAGTCATTCTTTGTTTCTAACTTTCACATTCTAATCACCAATAATTATCAAAGCATTTTGATTGCAGGTTTGATTGATTTCAAGGTGCAGAAATTGGTGAAATTGTTTAACTTCTTCATAATTGGCTTCCGTGGTTGGTGTGTAATTTGAAGAACAGCCATCTTAAATGGTTCTCCTTGAAGGGATATGCAGATCATCTTATTGATGACAGGGTTATACTTTGGGATATATATTGAAATGTTATTTTTAATGATGAATAGGGCACCCTTCCACTTGAATTTGCCATTCCTGCCATAGTAAATTGTAGGATTGTCCAATTCAAAATAGTTTCAGTCTATTTCAGTTTACTGATGTCTAGGATATCAATTTTCAAATGTTCTATTTCATTTTTAATGGCTTCCAAATTTCCTAGATTCATAGTTCATATATTCCATGTTCCAATTGTTAATGAATGTTTGTGGCTATTTTTTTTTTATCACGCATCATCAATAAATGAAGGTGCCAATACTTTATTCCATCTACATCTTTAGGGTTGAATTTACTTGAGGAGGCAGCGCTTCCTCAGTCATATTTTGAGTGTCGTCCAACCTGAATTGATTATTTTCCATCACTATATTAAATACTGTTTTGCTGCCATTAACAAGATTTTAACTGGTAGTGTTTTTTAGTGTTTTAGTGTTTAAGTATTTTTAGTGTTTCACTGTTAGTGTTTCCGTGTTTTTGGTTTTTTTACATACAATATAAACGCTTTATTGAATAGTTGCAGCGCATCCCCGTTGATCAAGTGGTCGGCCAGACATCCGAGACCCGGCAGCGGCCTCAGCGCAGCCTCCGAGCTTCTCGCTCCAACTCAAACAGAGTGAGCACGTCGCCCGGCGCACGGGGCCTTTCACGTTTCATGATGGAGCGGCTCGTGTGGTCCATGAACTCCACGCGCACCTGCATGCACTGTCCCTGGGAGCCGGTCCGGCCCGGCACTTTGGTGACTCTGGCCAGCTTGATGGGCTGCGCACGGCTGGTGTCCATGATGGCGGCGCGGCGGCGGCGGGGGGTCGGAGAGTGTTTCGGTGTTTTTAAGACTCACACTGCCAGCTCCTTCTTCCGAGCCTGTCTTAGTTTGGAAACTCAGTTGGAAACTATTCACAAGGGATGTCCCAGCTAAGGATTGAAAACTGGCAGATTGAAAAGTGGTGGGTTCAATTGATTGATTGATGTTGTTAGGGGCCTTTGAGTTGGCTCTGACCCATAGTGACCCTATGCACAACAGAGCAAAACACTGCACAGTGCTGTGCCCGCTTTGCAACCGAGCCCATTGTTGCAGCTCTTCCTCTTTTTTGTTGCCCCCTCCACTTTACCAAGCATGATGTCCTTCTCCAGGAATTGCTCTTTCCTGACAATATGTCCAAAGTATATCAAAGTCTTGCCATCTTTGTCTCTAAGAAGCACTCTGGCCTTACTTCTTCCAGTATAGATCTGCTTGTCTTTTTAGCAGTCCATGGTACTTTCAATATTCTTCTCCAGCCCCACAATTCAAATGCACCGATTCTTCTATGGTCTTCCTTATTCAGTGTCCAACTTTCATATGCATATGATACAATGGAAAATATCATGGCTTAGTCATTCAAGTGACATCTTTACTCTTCAATACACTAAAGAGATCTTGTGTAGCAGATTTATCTAATGCAATATGTCTTTTGATATCTTGACTGATGCTTCCATGAGCACTGTTTGTGGATCCAAGCAAGACAAAATCCTTGACCTTGTGTGTTAGTCCGGGTAAACTAGAGAAACAAATTCATGAACACTCATATGTGTATCAGAAAGAGCTTGATATACAAGAGCAATTGTATATTTAGAAAACATCCCAGCTCAGTCCAGATCAAGTCATTAAGTCCGATTTTAGCCCATATGTCCAATGCCAATCTACAAAGTTTTCAGACTCACAAAACACATGCAATGATGCTGAATGCAGGGAGATCACAGGCCAGTGGGTGGATAGTCTTGTGGATCCAGTGATGATGGAAGCATCTCAGTTCTGGCGTGGGTCTCCACGTGACTCTTCCAGGTCTAGGCTCTTGCTGCCATTAGCATAGGTCCATGTGTCTTTTCAGTATAGAATCTCTCAGGGAATGAGCCCCTGTCCCACCTCCAGCGAGTTATTTATCTCCTTAGTGCCTCCAAATGAGATCATCAAGCTGTGTTCTGATTAACCGGCTAAGCGCCACCCTTCACTCTTAATACTCAAATTGACAGCAGATTATGTAACTACCACACCTTGACAATATCAAAGCACGAACAAAGGTTTGAAAGACCAAGAGGTCCATATGGAAAGCCATTGCGGTCTCCAGAAGAAGGCTCAGACGTTATTCACCCCCCAGGGGCACAAATTGCTGTCACTCTGCAGGCAGCTTACGGATTCATGGAATGTATTTTTAAGACAAATAAACTTGACCATAATGCAATCACCGAGTTTCTTTGACCATGATAAGATGTAAAACAAAACTACACTGGTTTTTAATCATTTTATTAGGGGCTCATACAACTCTTAAGTGGGAATATTTTCACAGCAAATCTTTATGCTAATATAATTTATAAATTTGAATAAAAGCAAATATTTATCAGAGAGAATTTTTTAAAATCGTTTTATTAGGGGCCCTTACAACTCTTATCACAATCCATACATACATTAATTATGTAAAGCACATTTGTACATTCATTGCCCTCATCATTCCTAAAACATCTGCTCTCCACCTAAGCCCCTGGCATCAGCTTCTCATTTTTCCCCCTCCCTGCCTCCACCCCACTCCTTTATGAACCCTTGATAATTTATAAATTATTATTTTGTCATATCTTGCCCTGTCTGCTGTCTCCCCTCACCCACTCTTCTGCTGTCC